AAAGACTGCAAAGGCTGAAAAATCTTGAAGTCTGGATGAAATTGGAGGTAGTTTGAGGATTAAATTTTTTATGCTTTTTAAGCTCAAAAAAAGGGGGTCGTACATGAGATYGTATTATACATGAGATCGTATTATACACGAATAAATATGGTTAATTTAACAGGCTCATATTTTGAAGAAAACTGTTAAGCCTTCCATTCCTGATCAAGTGCATCTATACATGGAAAAGACCAAGCTAAACTGGTTATTGTTAAGCTCTAAGTGCAGGGGGGAAAGCTAAAATCAAAGAGCAGAGTGACCATTCACCACAAATCTACAACTAGGACAGCATGTGTTGCTTTGTGTTGTGAGTTAAACTATAATCTTCAGTGGAAGTATACCCTAACAATGCTATAAGCTCATGTTCATTAAACTCAGATATACCTGACCCCTCATCAAAAACAGAGCAGATAAGGTCACTTAATTGCTCACATGTTAGTGGGTTGTGTATTTTTTGCCTTGTTTGGATAATTTGGTGTATGATAAGGTTTACTTGGAGGTAGTGGCGGGCACGTTAACAGAAGCAGTTCTACGCGGGACGTTTGAGACTTGGCGCTGCTGTGACAAGAAGGACTGATTGGAGAAGAGCATGGAGGGGGTGCGACTTGTAAGACGTGACTCCATAGCCAGTTTCTGAAAGTTCAGACTCTGAGAACAGAGAAACCGGACATTTCAGAGTCAGCAGATGGTCATAAAATACAGTATGTATTATGCAATAAGAAACCCGAGGCACTTTTATTTTACCTTATTATACCAGGCAGTGACGATGAGTTTCTCCTCATGCTCTCTTAGCATGGCCTGATCACACTGACGCTGGAAGAACAACCAGTCAAACATCGGTGTGAAAAAAATTGCCTAAAAACATGTCTTCATGTCTATGTTGAGAGAAAATGCAGATTTACTTCAAGGTTAAGAATGCGTTTGTCTCGGTCTGCTAACTGGTTCCTCAGAGCTTGAATCTCAGCAGTGGCAGGATTTAGCTTTGGGTCCAAGGCTCGTATGACCTTCAAAAAAACAGATCCAAAGTAAAATATTTTTGGTATAATCAGTGGTGGGCAGCGTTAATCCAAAAATTAGCTCCGCAATTTCTAAAGCGCTTATGAAAATATTTAGGTCCACAACTTCAAAATTGCTTATGCCATAGAAAAACTAGCAGAAGCTAATTTGAGAGCGCAAGTTCAATTTGACATTTACTAGCTGGCAACAATTCATGTATGAAGAAGCATGGTAGGCACAACACTGCCAACTAGCGGTGTATGAACTCTTTTACAACTTAATTCTACAACCGCCGATTGTTGGGGATGTGAT